GGTTACTAGTACCACTTATGAATGTTGGTGAAGAATTCCAATTGGCAGACATTTCAGATAAATCTGTCAATTAACAGTGCAAGTAAAACCCAATTTATGCACTATTAATATTAAGGTAATTGATATTAAAAGTCAGTGGACTATAGAGAGTACAGCATCCACGCTTTGCAAGTTTCATTGCTCAGTTAGAGTTTAATAAATCACATAAACTGTATACTATCACAAAATATTATCTCGAGAACAAATATTAACCTCCTGGAATATTATTGTAAAACTGTCCACTAACTTTGTGAATGCATCGAACAGAAATAATATTAATGATGTAAAAGGTACATGCATATGTTAATGCATGAAAAATTCTACAACAGAAAAATTTCCTACCTACTATAACTAAGCAAAGTCATTTAATACAGGAGCTTTTCCATATTTGCTGCTAAAAAAGTAACAAAAAACAAACCTAATGCTGGAAAGACAACAGCCATTTATTCATGACTATGTGGATGATACTATTATAATAAAATTTGTACGTGGATCTTCATCTGGCTGGTAACCAAAGTGTACACGTACCATTAAAAGTGCAAAAACAAACCCAATTTATGCACTATTAATACTAAATATGGCGTCAAGTCTTCAAAGATATACAAAATGTGTTATTATTTTTGTAATGCGCAGTGAATTTTCAATTAACAAAATAAAAAAAGAAATATATCTTTGCTATAGCCTTGGACAAAAAAGTCTCGCAAAGTTCAAAAACTAAAACAATCATAATTGTACACTAATTCTTACAAATCAAAATTACATGAATCTATTAGAATATTGCCACAAGAGGTTATAGAGTACAAATTTTTACATTGGGTACTTCAAACTACAGTAGAGGCTCCCTACATGTACATGTATGTCTGTCAGTACATGTATATAGTAATTAACTTATGCAACAAAATAACTTACGTGGTGAATGCATAAAACATGTATTCACAAGCATGCACTTCGAGTCAGAAATTGATTACACAATACAGATCTGATTTTTAAAATTACATGTAGCATATTAATTATTAATTAGAATAACAATTTTTCTTACCTTCCATATTGATCCCCAATGATGTCCCATGTGTGAATCTGAGTCAAAAGAGTAGCATAACCAAGAGGAGATGGAGGGAACGAAGACGAAGGAAAACAGGTGGCGGAAGTCAGTCAGTGATAATGCAGCCAATAGCATAGAGCCTGATGTTGACATAATAGCAAATGTCAATATTAATCAACTAATTAACTATTATTAATAACTAACCATCATCTCTATCGTCAAACATGCCAGGAAGAATACTAGAAATAAATATATATTAAACCCAATAAATAAATAATTATTAATGGTGACCCGATATGAGAAAACCGGGATTTTGGTAAAATCAGTTTTTGGTACTCACAGATAGAGAAAAAAATTCCTTTCCAGCAATATCCAGTTTATGACAATGCACAATAAAATTTGGAAGTTAGGGATGCTGTTTTGACGATTGCTCTGGAATACTAGTACAGAGAAAAGCCATTTTAAGTTATTTTCAATGTTTCCGTGTCATGCCCGTTCACGTAGTAAATGAAACCACGCCCACCACGTAAAACCACACCCAAATCAATTAATAAACGGGGAATGAAGAAAGAAGCACTTTTGACTTGCTTTTCACAGCATTTGAACTATCATTTCTTGTATAATGGACATCGTAAGAGTTGTCTAAAGCCCTGCCATTCATGGTGGCTTCAAATATTAGTAAGTTTTTTCATTACCAAGTTACAGAGTATTATTATTACGTCTTGTAGTGCTAAAAGTCCTAATTATGGCGCTGACTGTTTTAAACACGGATCATCCCCATACTTCATTCAAATCCAGCCATCGCTTTTTACAGGTAATAAATATATTATTTTTATTTAGAAGTATAATTAAGTTCTTTACATGTAACGTTAAAATAGTTTATTGTCTTTGCACTTGTGGATGAATCCTATGAAAAATTTGTTGTTATTGTTATGTTTAATGATGTTTCTTTCTCTTACTGTTGTAGCAGGGCCTCCTCTTCCTCTTTGGCCTCTTCCTTGGCCACCTCCCTCTCTTCCATGGCCACCTCCCCTGCTTCCTTAGCCACCTCCCCCTCTTCCTTGGCCAGCTGCCCCTCTTTTTTGGCCTCCTCCTCCTCCTTGGCCACCTCCTCCTCCTTGGCCACCTCCTCTTCCTGCTCCTCTCCCGCCACCTCGTCAATGCTTCCCTTTACCCCTATGTTGTCTCCTTTTCTTCTAACAACAAAAAGAGATTAAGGTAAGTTATACTAATAATAAGAACACAATACACATTAACATCTTTTAAATACCATTTGATACTATTAACACATGAAGGAATAGTACTGTATGTTCATGTAGTATCATTATTCTTGAAAGTAATATGAAAATAAGTTAACTAAAGACAAAGTTACTCACTAAGAGATAGCATTTTACAGGCAAGAATAATTACATTGTTAATAATAATAAATGTACCTCAGACTGATGCTCAATCTCACACCCAGCATTCCTTAAAATTGCAGTGCTGTTCTTCTTGCACGCCCAGCATAAGTCCGTCATTGGCTTGATGCTGTAAATGTGGGGAACATACTTTCTCCATATTCTTTTAAAGGAACTTTCACTGAGAGCATGTTCCCTACCAGCATCAGCATACTGCTGTTAAACCATGCGTCGGGACACACTGGACGGCAACAGCTTAGCCTTCCCATAATCCCTCACTCCAGGTATCCTCCCAGGTAGTAAAATGGCGTAGTCTTCAGCATAGTTCTCCAAAAATGCTACCACATCTTAAACGCCTTCCACAGAAAGAGCATGACAAGGAATGCAACCAGTGTTCCCATGAACCCTTCATTAAAAATTTTAATTACTCTCCTTTGGATTATTCTTATTATTTTTACCTAGGTTTTATTCCATTTTGAAGGAAATGCCTCCTCAAGTTCTTGTAAGTACCATTTCTGATACTGTATACGAACAAGAAGAGCTTCTTACATATCTATTTTTAAAAGATAAGAAATAACTTATTGTTGTAGATATTTTTGTTCAATACTTTCTTTCCCCTGTATTCATACTCAGTCCTATTCCTCTCAACTGTTTCACAAGATGTTGAAGACATCAGGTGTCCAAGAATAGTCATCTCCAGTTGGTCCTTTGTCAGTTCATACAAATCCCAGTGTACTCTCATCAGATCATCCTTCTCAAACTGTGTGTGACACTTCTTTGCACAACACCCACTAGAGTATAATGCCTCAATTTCCTCCCTCTCTCTTAAATCCACAGCTGTCTCATCCAGCTCTAGATCCTCTGGCTCCACAACTATGGTGTTGCTAGTTGCATGAGTGATGAGTGGTTCTTCATCATCATACTCCTCTTCCTGCTGCTCCAGGTGCTGTGAAAGCTCCTGCTGTGATGTGAAGTGCAGCTGCTCCGGGGTTGTTACCAAGAGCCCATCACATTCATCTTCACCATCACCGCTTTCACAGTCCGAATATCCTATAGCATAATAATATATAGTTGCTTTATTTATTTTGCTGTTATGTATATCAGTTGTTTTTGACTTTGTATAAACAAGTAAAACAATATTTATTACTAATAATTATAGTATAGCTTACCTTGGCTCTGCGTAGGGGAGTAAAAGTATTCTCCTAGCTGAGTTTGAAGAGTAGAATCCTGTGTTAAGAAGCTTCGCTATTTCCTCCGCAGACATCCTCAAAACTGCTAACAGTACTGTAGAATGGACCTTTTGCACTTAATAGTGATGTTCGATACCAAAGTACTCGATACTACCCAGGATCGAAAAGGTATCGAAAGCAATTCCAGTATCGAAACATTCGATTCCAACTACAGCCACACCCACTTAACTACAATAATAGTTAATAAACTACTAGTTAATTTTAAAATTAAAATGTAAATATTTTTTATTTAAAAAATGAACATTAAGAATAATAGATAATCCTTCTCCGGTTGCTCTCTGAACTTTCTCAGTCTTTCTGGATTGTTGTTTGAATCTTTGAGATGGTGAAAAAGTGAGGAAGTGAACAATGAAGCCTGTTTTTAGTGTTCATGGTCAATTCTGGCTGGAAGCACCTCTAGACTTTGACCTTATCTGGTACTCGGAATCGTACTCGATACCATCGATACTCTGAGAAAAAGTACTCGGAATCGAACCGAATTCATTTTTTCCGGTATCGAACATCACTAGGACCTACGCTAGGACTTAAGCCTAAGCGATTCTAATTAACGCGCACCCAAAGTGGTGGTAAAATGGCGGATTTTTGGAGGAAAGACAGGCTGAACAATCTTCTCTTTTATCCAGCCATTCTAGCTGTGAGAACCACTTTGAGCTGTCAAATTAGCGTTGCCGTGGTACATACAACACCCGCCCACGCAATGACCTTGCCTTGGTTCCGTAAATGGAGGACGCCTTTCTCAAAGAATGCCTTCTAACTCGAGAAATACATGGAGTTTTGGGGAGATCTTGGCATCAGTAGGTAGGTATTGACTTATATAACACATATATGAAATTTTAAAAATAATCTTATCATATTTTTGGCCATATCTCATTTTCATTAACAAAGTTATCTAACCCCCTAATCATGATTTCAGCAGTTTCCAGTGCTTTAAGGAGTGATCAGAAGTCGTCAGTAGTAGTAGTATGCTTGAAATTATCTTGACCCCAGCTGTATTTTACAAAAATGAAAGAAAACACCCTTTTTACCACCTTAAAAAGGGGTGTGGCCAAAATTATGGTGCAATTTACCATAGATAATAGAGTATGTAGGGATTGGAAACGGGCCGTAGCAACAGGAAAATGCTAGTTGATAGTACCGTAAATAATTTTTCTAATTACTCGTATGTAAAATTAAAATGGCTGAAAGTTGAAAAAGGTAAGCAAACTTCTCAGGTGGTTTTTTGTTGCATAAAGTCTTATTTTGTATAGGTAACCCTTCAATAATGTTGAGAGACATTTTTCCTGTTTGCCCAAGCTGTCTGCTGTAGCAATGTATCTGTTTGCAGTTTAAATTCAGTGTTTTATGAATTAGCAATCATTATTGATCACATTTACTATATTTAGTTCTATATTTTGACTTGTACAACCTATTGAATAGAAATGGTGTTGGCGACCTCTGGTGTGTTCTAAGCATTACGATGGTGTGATAGTTAATGTCATAGACCCTTTGGTTTTTATGTTAAGGGTACAAAACAAACCTCTCAAACTAATCAGTAAATCTATTGTTACACGAAGACGCAATCATATTTCCAAACGAAACA